TGTAGTCCTTAGAAATTGCAAGAAAACAGCAGAGGAGAAGCTGCAAAGCATGCTGGGAATCCAGGAAGTTATGGAAAGAGACACCCAGCAGACAGGCAGAATGTACAACATGAAAGGAGATTTTTCAAGTAACTTTACATTGTGTTGTCAAATATAGCTATTGTTTGCTTTGCTATTACAATGCCAATGTTGGAAAATGAAAGCTATTACCTTTTGTATCACTCAACCCTTCCTCCTAGATTGTAAGCTCTAATGAGCCGGGCCCTCTGTTTCCTCTCGTACCAAAGTGCATTGGAACTGAAATGTCTGCCTTCATTTTGTAAAGCGCTGCGCAAACTGTTGGCGCTATATAAAAACTGTATAATAATAATACATAATTATAATTAATTTAGCTTATAACAGACGTTGTTATTCTTTAATAATTCTGATTCTCCAAAGTCTGCATATTGAGACTCAGCATTAGCTAGATTAAAATGAACTGTGTGGATGGGCTCTGTAAGCCGGGGTTCAAGTGCACCATGGTATTTCATGGCTAAGAGGTCAGTAGGTCAATGGCTTCCCATCCTAAAATATCACTTGGAATGCAGTAAAGAGTTAAGCAAGAGATAAGAAAATATATTTTATAAAGAAAATAATTTCTAATCTATAATATAGCTAGCTAGTTAGTTATTTCATATAGTTAGTTAACTAATTCATTAGGAATAGTATGTGATAGTATATTCTCAATTATTGTTGATTATGTTTATGCATTTATGTGTTCTCTGTCCTTAAACTGAAGGTTGAACCTGTTTTAAGAAGAATAGTTATGTGATCCTATAGTACGGGAAGATCATATAAGAATCCAATGTAACAGTATTGTATGTTTCTGCCGAGCAAAGTACAGTTGCAAGAAAAAGTATGTGAACCCCTTGGGATTACGTGGAGTTTTGCATGAATTGGGCATAAAATGTGCTCTGAACGTCATCTAAGTCACAACAATAGAAGAACACAGTCTGCTGAACATAATACTACACAAACATTAGATGTTGCCATGGTTTAATTGCACATAACATGTAAACATTCACAGGGCAGGGAGGAAAAAGTATGTGAACCTTTGGACTTAATAACTGGTTGACCCTCCTTTGGCAGCAATAACCTCAACCAACCCTTTTCCTGTAGTTGCAGATCAGACCTGCACAACGATCTGGAGTAACTTTGGACCACTCCTCTTCACAAAACTGTTTCAGTGTAGCAATATTCTTGGGATGTCTGATGTGAATCGCTCTCTTAAGGTCATGCCACAGCATTTCAATCGGGTTGAGGTCAGGACTCTGACTGGGCCACTCCAGAAGGCGTATTCTGTGCTCTAGCAGCCATTGTTTTGTTGAATTACTTGTATGCTTTGGGTCATTGTCCTGTTGCATCACCCATCCTCTGCGGAGCTTCAGTTGGCGGACAGATGGTTGTACGTTTTCCTGCAAAATGTCTTGATAAACTCTGGAATTCATTTTCCCATCAATGACAACAATCCATCCAGGCCCTGAGGCAGCAAAGCAGCCCCAAACCATGATGCTCCCTCCGCCATGTTTTACAGTGGGGATGAGGTTTTGATGTTGGTGTGCTGTGCCTTTTTTTCTCCACACATAGTGTTGTGTGTTCTTCCCAAACAACTCAATCTTGGTTTCATCTGTCCACAGTATATTCTGCCAGTAGTGCTGTGGAACATCCAGGTGCTCTTTTGCAAACTTCAAACGTGCTGCAATATTCTTTTTGGACAGCAATGGCTTCCTCCGTGGTGTCCTCCCATGTACTCCATTCTTGTTTAATGTTTTCCTTATTGTAGATGTGTCAACAAAAATGTTAGCATGTGCCAGAGATTTCTGTAGGTCTTTAGCTGACACTCTGGGATTCTTCTTTACCTCATGCAGCATTCTGCGCTGTGCTCTTGCAGTCATTTTTACAGGATGACCACGCCTAGGGAGAGTAGCAACAGTGCTAAACTTTCTCCATTTGTAGACAGTCTGTCTTACCGTGGACACATGAACATCAAGGCTTTTGGAGATACTTTTGTAACCCTTTCCAGCTTCATGCAAGTCAACAATTCTTGATCATAGGTCTTCTGAGAGCTCTTTTCTGCGAGGCATGGTTCACATCAGACAGTGCTTCTTGAAACCAGTAAACCCAAAACAGGTGTGTGTTTTTTTAAGGGCAGGACAGCTGTCAGCAACACATCCAATATCATCACACTGATTGGAGTCAAGGTTGGCTCACTCCTGGCTCCAATTAGCTCTGGGAGAAGTCATTAAGCTAGGGCCTCACATACTTTTTCCTCCCTGCACTGTGAATGTTTACATGTTATGTGCAATTAAACCATGGCAACATCTAATGTTTGTGTAGTATTATGTTCAGCAGACTGTGTTCTTCTATTGTTGTGACTTGGATGACGTTCAGAGCACATTTTATGCCCAATTCATGCAAAACTCCATGTAATCCCAAGGGGTTCACATACTTTTTCTTGCAACTGTATTTTGTAGATAACATCAGCTAAGAACCAGACATATGTTTAGAACACTTACTAATATGACTATTACACATTTCGCTCAGACTGAATTCGAACATAGATGTAGCTTCTAGTCATTATCCTGCTAAACAAGAAAATGTTTCTGGAGGGGCGTGGTCTGCCGAGATCCAAGATGGCTACGTGACACAGGAGCTCCTGCCAGTCAGAGACCTTGCATCAATATTAGCAGAGGAGCGGGTGAGACAGAGCCATTACATGATGGGGAAAGCGGACCGGAAAATCACCGACTCCCGTTCCCGGTCACCGACTCCCCCGTTCCCGCTCTCGGGGGCACATAACCCCCAGCAGTCCAGACATATTCAGGAGCTGTTAAGCTCTCAGCAGAGGGACAGGCCACATGCAGCATCCCCCTCTCCCCCCCCTCCTCCCTCCACTACAGAAACGTGCTCAGAGAGTACAGAGCACAGACACTGGGGCTGGCATGGAATCTGTCCCACAGCATGATCTCTCTTTAGACGCTCATACACTTTCTTTAAGAGATCTGCAGGCAGTTGCAGCTGACATTAAAGCCACATTTACCACAGCCCTCAGTGACCTAAGAGAAGACCTTCATTTGTTAAGTACAAGAATAGAGGAGGTGGAATTCACAAGCAGATCTAATGCTGATGCCATAGTGGAGATACAGCAGTTGTCAGTATTGCACACATCTCATATTCATGATTTTTATAGACAGATTGAAGATCTGGATAATAGAGGTCGCAGACATAATATCAGATTGCGTGGCTTGCCTGAATCTGTGGAGCCGAGCGACATCCCCAAAACAGTAATTGCGATCTTCAATGATCTGCTGGGCCATCCACCTGCTGCACCCATTGATCTGGAACATGCACACAGAGTGCTTCACTCCAGAGGCAGAGATTCTGACCCCCCAAGAGATGTGGTGTGTTGCTTGGTCAGCTTTCCAATCAAAGAAGACATTCTCAGAAGGGCCAGAGAAAGAAGACGCCTTTTATATCAGGATAATGAGATACACCTGTTCCAGGACCTCTCCTCCATAAGCTTGCAACAAAGGTGAGAACTTTGCCCCCTTCTGGATACACTTTGCTCTTATAACATACCATACAGGTGGCGATTTCCATTCTGTCTCTCCGCTCAAGCTCAGCGGCGCACAGCCTACCTGGGAGTTCCAGAGGATCTCCCCAGCTTCTGTTCGCACTAGACATTCCTCTAGTTGAGCTTCCAGATTGGTACAGATCTCTGCGTCTTCCAAATGCTACTGAATCTGGTCAAGTACCAAGTGACATGGATTGGCAAGGCCCCCATCTCCGCCGCCACCAATTGGTCCCTTCCACTCCTCCGAGACTTCCTGCCAGAGGCTCCACTACCAACAACAGCCGGACGGCCTCTCCTGCACATCGCAGACCCCGCCATGATGCCTAAAGGCCTTTCTTCAATCTCTTCCCTGACTTTCTCTCATCAGCAATACTTATCCAGACTTTGATCTTACCTGATCCCTCCTATCCGACTCCAGGACCATGCCGGTAGCACCTCGGGTCCTATTTTGCCCCTTAACTGGACACCTTCACCCTTTCATTTTCTGCTCTCTAACCCATCCACCCTGGTCCATGTCTTTTAATGCCCCTGCAGTTGTTGCCAAATTCGCCTCATCGATCATGAAGACCTTTTCCCTCTCTGTCTCAGCTTCTCCAATGGACCGCCAGTCCAGATGTACCTCCACAGGCACCCTCCATGTCACCGGCCTTTTTATTGCTGCATTTTTTCACTACCTCTGATGGAAGCCTGGGATATGGTCCTACAGTCTTTCTCTAGCCCTGTTTGTAATGCATATGCTGATTTGTCCACTGCCTAGAGTCCATGGAGAGTATGGATCTCCAGACCCTCTATGCCCCGCCCCTGTTTGGTTGTATGGCCACCCAGGGGTCTTTTGTTGGTCTTGCAGTGGTCAGGGGAGATTTCCATGCCCTCCATTACATATTGTCTGTATTTCCCTGACCATGATCCCTACTGTTTTTCATCAGAGTTTACTGTGAGAGGCTTCATACTCCTGCTCGCCTTTATACCTTTTCCAGGGGTAGTGTGGGATGGGGGGGAGGACTTGGTTGGGTGGGGAGGGATCCGGGACCCGGGCTGTCATTTCTATAGTATTATTATGTTACATATCTGTTTGAAATCAAGTATCACCTCGTTACACTCTCCAGGTGTTGTTCCCTGCGGGATCCGGCCCCCTCCTTCACCTCATGTCATAACACCCGTCTTAACCACAGTTACTGCTTACAGGTTTTGAAACCATCATTTGGAGCTTCTGCTGAGCTCCCCCCTAGTCCCGTCCTCTCCCCTTGCCTAGCTACCGCTATTTTTTTTTTTTCAGACAGGAGGTGCTACTTGATTTTTAGAATTTCATGGAGTTCTGCAGGAGCGGGGTGGGAGATGGATGGTTTGAGTTTTTGGGAAGGAGCCAGGAAGAGAAGAGTTAGGACAGATGAGAGATACCTTAGGGTTCCAAAAAGAAATGGTGCACTATGTCTCATTTTTCCCAACTGTTTCCTTTGATGGTTGCTTTTGTTTTTCTGAATGGTTGCCCTGCTGTTTCTGTGATGTTGCAATGTTTTTGCCCTAAACAGATTAGGATACGATTTGCTTTTCATCTTAATGATATGCAGGTTTAAACAGAAAGTAGAATATGCAGGTTTTCGATCTGGCTTTCACTGATGTTTTATTTTCAGCATGGACTCGCACACTGGCCCTACCACGGCACACCTACAATACCACAACTCTGCCCATAACTTTAGGATCATGCCACGACTGCATTCCACTTAGATGTGCATTTTCTCATTTCCCTACATACAATGCTTCCACCACTATACGCACTAATGATATATATTTGGTCTCCTTGCCCTCATGAAATTTGTTACATTTTCCTTCTGATATCCCTAAGCTTGTTGCTGCGTCTTACCTCACCCAGTATGCTGGATGATGGCGGTTGTGCCCCCATCTATATCTTCATTCAAACGAATTGTGCTCACCCTCCCTCCCCGATTCTTGCATTTTTTTAAGGTTCATGGCCTGGTGGACTGTTTCGTTTTGGATCTAAGTCCACAGAGTTTCCCACACAGCGAGCTTTGAGAGCTCTCGCTGAACTTTTTCCGTCCGTCTTTACTCCCTTGTCCTCTGCTTCTCATCTCCTTTCATTCATTGTTCCTCTTTCTGCTATTTCCCTCCTACCCCTTCTTCTTTCTTGTTCTTTCCTCCTTCCCACATTTTGGTGGGTCAGCTGGTCTACCCTCACTGCCGGTTATCTCTCTCTCTCTCTCTCTCTCTTTTTTCTCCCCTCATTTCTTCTTCCTTTTCATTTCTGTTCTTTTCCTTCCCCTCTCCCCCCTTCTTCTCCCCTTCCCCCTCCACCCCCTCTTTTTTTTTTACTCCCTTTTTCCCTTCCCTTTAGGTTCCCTTTACTCTCCTGGGCATGCCTTCTCTCAACTCTCTGTCAGGACATCTTTCGCTGAAAGTTCTGTCTATTAATGTGAAGGGTCTGAACACCCCTGAAAAGCGCTCTCTCCTGCTTTCGCACCTTTTTAAACAGAGCGGATATTGTCTTTCTTCAGGAAACGCACTTCTGTCACGATGCCATACCAAAGCTTACCAACTCCCATTTTCCGACAGTTTATCATGCTCCTAACCCTCATGCTAAATCTAAAGGCGTTGCCATTTTGATTGCAAAGCACCCCCCTCTGGCTATCTCGGAGTCACATCTGGATCCGGATGGTAGATTCTTGTTTCTAAAAGGTAATTTTGCCAATAGGCCCATCACTTTAGCAAATCTTTACTCACCCAACACTAGACAGGTATCCTTTTTTCCGCTCCATTACCTCTTCACTCTCCTCCTTCCAGACGGGTATCCTAATCTTGGGAGGTGATCTTAACGTTCCCCTATGCCCTTTATTGGACTCTTCCTCGGGAAGCTCTTTCTTGCCATATAAATCCATTAGACAGATTCACACTCAACTTCAAGATCTGCAACTTCACGACTCTTGGCGAGTTCTCCACCCGAATGTCAAAGACTATACATTTTTTCTCCCCTCCACACAACAAAATATTCCAGAATCGATTACCTCTTTATCATGCAAGCTGACCTCTCTTTCTTCCATGATTCCTCCATTGAACCGATGATCCTCTCTGATCATCACCCTATCACTATGACATTACGATTTCCAGAGAAACATTCCTGTTCTAAGATATGGGGTTTGGATGCCTCTCTTCTTTCTGACTCGGCCAATGAAGCAGAGGTCCGCTCCCAATTATAGGACTACTTTTTGAACAATAAAACTCTAGATACCTCTTTGTTAACTCAATGGGAGGCACATAAATGTGTCATTCGAGGAGTCCTAATAGCAATGGCCACAAAACATAAAAAAAGAGACTCGCTTACAACTCTTAGATCGCATTAAATTCCTGAAAAGGCGCACAAACATAATCAGGCCTCCTCAACTTTATGTGATCTTATGAACACCCGCACACAGCTCTTAAACAAAATAGGCAAGGGAGCTAAGCACAGATTCATTCTGTCGCAAAACATTTTTTATGTTTTTTGCTAACAAAAGCGGGAGATTCTCAGCCAGATCCCTCCAGACAAAAAAGTCAAGTTTAACGGTTCACAAGATTAAGGGCTCGGATGGCTCTTTTTGGCCACCTCAAACGCGGATAAAGCGTCTCACTTTGAGCAATACTACAAAACATTATACAATCTTCCTCCAGAACGTCGCCCATCTGAGGTCAATAAGCCTAGAGACACCCTAATCTCTGACTTTCTTCACCTCTATAGTCCTTCCACTGTACCTGATGATACTGTTCAGGATTTGGAACATCATATCACTGCGGAGGAACTCTCCCAAGCCGTCCAGCAAATGAAACCTGGTAAAAGCCCGGGCCCTGAAGGTCTTTCTGTGGCATATTACAAGGAGTTTCTAGATATTTTGAGTGGACCCTTCCTCTCCGCCTTCAAAACTTTCTCTTCACCCTCCATGCAACATCATCATCGCCTCCTGGAAGCTCACATCACTGTCATCCCCAAAGAAGGTAAAGATTAGAGATGAGCGAATTATTCAAAAATTTGATTCGGCTGATTCGCCGAATTCACGGAATAAATTCGATTCGAGGCGAATATATTCGCTGCGAATTTAACTTATAAAAAGGGTGTTTCTAGGCTTCAGAGAGCCTTTATATTAGTGCAGAACACTGTACCTTTAATTTAAATGCCTTTGGAGTCTGCTGCGGAAGAGAAATAATACTGTCAGTCAGTATGACATGCAGATGAGTGCCGTCGATCTTAGAATCACCGCACACTTCACTCATTTGGGCAGTCACGGGGCCAAAACCAGAGTGTGGAGCCACAGTGTGGCGGTGGAGGCAGCAGCAATGGGAGGCCATACAGCACCCTATGACAAAATGGAACCCACCAGCAGTGTGAGGAGACCTGAAAGTGGCACATGGCAGAGTGTGTGGCGATGGAGACAGCAGCAATGGGAGGCCGTACAGGGACCCATGACACACTCTGGACCTGGCAGTAGCATGAGGAGGCGGTACAGGGGCCCATGACAGATTACGGGCCTGGCAGCAGCATGAGGAGTTGGTACGGGGGCCCATGGCAGATTACGGGCCTGGCAGCAGCATGAGGAGGCGGTACAGGGGCCCATGGCAGAGTGGCGGAGCGTAAGCAGCTAAAATTGAAGGCCATACAGAGGCCTAGGTTAAAAAGTCCCCCCAGCAGCAGCGTGGGGAGACGACTATCAAGAGTCCAATGGCAGAGTGGCGGAGCAGAAGCAGCTTCAATAGAAGGCCATACACAGGCCTAGGTTAAAAAGCGGAAGCCGTCAGCAGCGTGAGCAGACGACAGAGACACATGGCGCAGGGGTGGCGGTGGATGCAGCAGTATTCGGAAGCCAAACACAGGCCTCGGTTAAAAAGCGGAAGCCGTCAGCAGCGTGAGCAGATGACAGAGGCACATGGCGCAGGGTGGCGGTGGAGGCAGCAGCAATGGAAGGCCATACAGCACCCTATCACAAAATGGAACCCAACAACAGTGTAAGGAGACCTGAAAGTGGCACATGGCGCAGGGTGGCGGTGGAGGCAGCAGTATTCGGAAGACATACACAGGACTAGTTTAAAGAGTGGAAGCCATCAGCAGCGTGAGCAGACGACAGAGGCATATGGCGCAGGGTGGCGGTGGATGCAGCAGTATTCGGAAGCCAAACACAGGCCTCGGTTAAAAAGCGGAAGCCGTCAGCAGCGTGAGCAGACGACAGAGGCACATGGCGCAGGGTGGCGGTGGAGGCAGCAGTATTCGGAAGCCATACAGCACCCTATCACAAAATGGAACCCACCAACAGTGTAAGGAGACCTGAAAGTGGCACATGGTGCAGGGTGGCGGTGGAGGCAGCAGTATTCGGAAGACATACACAGGAATAGTTTAAAGAGTGGAAGCCGTCAGCAGCGTGAGCAGACGACAGAGGCACATGGCGCAGGGTGGCGGTGGATGCAGCAGTATTCGGAAGCCAAACACAGGCCTCGGTTAAAAAGCGGAAGCCGTCAGCAGCGTGAGCAGACGACAGAGACACATGGCGCAGGGTGGCGGTGGAGGCAGCAGTATTCGGAAGCCAAACACAGGCCTCGGTTAAAAAGCGGAAGCCGTCAGCAGCGTGAGCAGACGACAGAGGCACATGGCGCAGGGTGGCGGTGGGAGGCAGCAGTATTCGGAAGCCATACACAGGCCTTGGTTAAAAAGCGGAAGCCGTCAGCAGCGTGAGCAGACGACAGAGACACATGGCGCAGGGTGGCGGTGGAGGCAGCAGTATTCGGAAGCCATACACAGGCCTAGGTTTAAAACTGGAACCCAGCAGCGTGAGCAGATGACAAAGACGCACATGGCAGAGGATGGATCTGGCAGCAGTATGAAAAGGCGGTACAGGGGCCCGTGGCACAGTGTGGTGATGGGGGCTACAGCAACTGGATGCCAGAAAGTGGCCGATAGGGCTATATACTGCATGGAATTAAAAGTTGTAAAGACAGACAGCGGCCTATTTGTCCCTAATAACATGTTTGGGGCATGATTCATGGCGGATTTAGTCAGTTGTGTCAGGAACTGGTGGTTTGAAATCCAGACTAATCCACGCCTGATTCATTTTCACAAACGTGAGTCTCTCCACACTTTGGGTGGACAGTCGTGTCCTCCGCGGAGTTACAATACCTCCTGCCGCACTAAACACGCGCTCCGATGCCACGCTACTGGCCGGGCATGACAGCCTTTCAAGGGCAAATTCAGCTAGTTGGGGCCAAAGGTCAAGTTTCGTTGCCCAGTAGTCAAGGGATTGTCTACCTCGGTTGGCAGGGTGCTGTCCAAGTAGGCCGAAGCCTGTTGTTTGAGCTCCTGCTCCAGGTCCACCTGATGCTGCTGCTGCTGCGGCTGGTTAGTAGTTTCCTCACTGCGCTGGTGAAGAAAGCTACTCATCATCGACTGCAGACTGAGGCAGCCGCTGCTGGTGGAGCTGCCACTGCTCTTACCACCCCACCCCTCCCCTGCTGCCATGGCAGCGGAACGCGAGCGCACAGGGCCCACAGTGTCTGAGGATGGACGTTGGCGCAGAAAGGCAGAGACCAACTGACTACATAGATGGTTTTTATAGTACTTTATTTTGGCCTCCCTCTCAGCAGGTGTGAAAAAGGCCACCATTTTTGAACGGTAGCGAGGGTCCAACAAGGTGGACAGCCAAAAGTCATCCCTCTGTCTGATGGTTATTATTCGGCTGTCGCTACGCAAGCAACCGAGCATGCTATGGGCCATTTGTGCCAAGGAATGCGAGGGACTCCCTGCCTCCATCTCCACAGCATACTGCCACGGTGCGTCTGGGT